GCTCAGGATTTTAACTCAACTCCTCCATCCTATTATTATGTACCTTTGAAAATTTATTCTGTATATCAAGATGCAGCACCTCATGTATGGATTCCAACATTTGAGAACTAATACAGAAACACTACAAATTCAGATGCTCCAACATCCTTTTTTTTTTAAAATGTACATAGACCACAAAGAACAATGTTACTATGTTCCAGATCATGCTAGGGCTCTCATAATCAGTGAATTCAATGCATCTATGAAGGTTATGTTTAGTTAGCTATCAGCACCATGAGCAACAACCAGATCAGAAATACTTTTTATTTTGGAAGTATTTATGTAATGATAGAATAGTAAGAAGAAAATAAACTTTATTCACCTACAGCTGTATACTCCCTGGCTACTGGAAGTATTTTCTTTTCCGAATGTAAACATACAATATAGATATGAAACACATCTCCAAAAGCAAACAGAATTTCTATATATCATTTATGGATCAAATTCTGCTTCTCTTATTCAAACTCAACATCTCATTTATTATAATAAAAATCCCATAAAAAACAAAAGTCTTACCACTGATTTCTTAATATTCTTATAGAAAGGATTCCATCCTATGCTCAAAACCATTTTATGCACATCTCCGTTTCCAACACAGGCCCATCCATAGTATATACCAGTAGTGATGTCAGATGGAAAGCTTTCAACTACTTGCTCAGAAAAGTTAGCTGCAAAAATTTGACAAAGTGTAAAGTATGAGTGACTTTGTATAAGTGAAGGACGCAACAGAATCTTCAAACACTTAAAGGCTAAATACTGCCTACATACTATTTACAAACATGACACTAATGATGATGAAAATAATGTGAGGTGCTTCATAAAATTCAGTCCCTGTGGCAATACTAGAGTTACCACATCTCATACACCTACTATATTTTATATTTATATACATTGTCTTCTGTGGTGATAATTAATAAGATGCAAAATAATCAGTCAGAATGTATTTCACTCTTAGGATGGCCATCATGGGTTTAATATGATGAAAGATGAGGACAAAAAAACCCACTATAAAACTGCATCCCAGAACAGTTTGTTAGTAAAATAACTATGAAATAAAATGCAGAAGTACATGAAATTATGATTTAGCTACCTGTCAAATTTGTACAAGCTGCCTTTTGGAGGCACCTCTGGGTTTCTGGGATTTTCTTTGAAAACTAGATTATCTGCAGGAAAATAAATCCCCTCCTGACTGAACCTAGCCGTCTTTCAAAACTACTCTGGTGGGAAGTAGAAGTAGGATAGTAATTTTGAAAGACGGTTAGGTTCAGTCAGGAGGGGATTTATTTTACTGCAGATAATGCAGACTTCTTCATGCAAGACATCAAGTTCATCTGAAAGAATTTACGGTTACTGAATTTTTATCAAAGTTCACAAGCAGTAACAACCTCCCTACTACCAATGCACCATTTGTACTGTGGAATTATTAACAGATGTTGTCAGAGACCGAGCAGCTCAAGACTGGTCTTACAAAGATTTCCTGTCTGCTAGGAACGGCACAGCGTGACTGCTGACTTCATCGTCTGTTTAAGACAGGCAAAAATTCACTTGAATTACGCATCTCTCTCTATTCAGACAACCGAAACAATGAAATAGGAAAACACATTTCTTCGTTGGCCAAACAGACCTGCTCCGTTTATTAAGTTCTGCATTGTTAATTCCCCCTGAACTTCCTTCCTTGCAGCTATTCCTGATGCCTACTCCCTTTCTCATTCTAGGTTTTATGTGAGGGGGTATCTTCCACGCGGACACCCCCCCAACACCCGCGGCACGTGATCGCTTACCCACATCCCCCACCTAGCATCACGGCGATCGTTACGTGATCAAACGATCGGGGAGGAGGGGAGGAAAAAACAAGTTAAAAAAAAACACCACTGCAAGGAACCGCTTGACAGAACGGAGAGAATAACAACACAAAAGAGGGTACAAAACTCTAAACAATGGAGGGAAAAACACAAAAAAACACGCGTAAAAAGCGCTAACGGGGAACAAGGCAAGGTTATTCGCAGAGAGCGCCAGTCACGCCAGCACCGCAATGGTGCGGGGCAGCCAGGCGCCTC